GGGGTGGAGGTGGGAGGAGGAAGTCTCTGGAAATGAGGGGTTAACCTTGTGGACTTTGCATTCAGGAAGAGGCCCTCTGCCCCTGACCTCTCTCTCCCCTACTTTACTCCCTTGCCTGCATGTCTGTCCCCTGGGGACTCCAGCCAGAACTGGGAACTGTCAGGGGTGCTCCTACCCCTGTCTTCCCCAGTGTGTCTCAGGAAAGACCTCCCTCCTCAGGAAATGCTGTTGCTCCCTACGGTCTGAATGGAGGGACTTTTGGGACGTGAACTGAGCAACCATCTGGGGGGTCAGGGACAGTTTACTGAACAGAGCAGGAACTCAGTAAGCTATTCGAGTGGAAGGAAATTAAGTCATTTTTAGGGCAGCATAGCACCCTATCCCCCATCCCAGCAACATTCCTCCCAGAGCTGCTGGCTTAGCTGTTGGCTAGGGTCCCTTCTACCTCAGTGTGGAAGCCCCATCTTCATTGAAGTCAGAGGTATGGGTCCTAAGGAAAGCCCTGGCATTTGGTTTCCTCTGAAGGCCCCACCTCCATTTTAGCCTCAGGCCTTCACCCTAGCTGCCTTCTCCAGGAACCACCTCCCTTCACACACCTCACAAATGGGGATGGCATCTTCTGGAAGCTCTGCCACTGAGAGGCTTCAGAGTTTCTGACCAAACTCCTTCATCCCCAGCCTCCCAAGGTTCTGCTGTGAACCTTGGCACCCCCTGGAGCTGCTTCACCTTTGGAACCTTTTCCAGGTGGCAGGAGTGACCAGCGCAGAGGTAGTGACCTAAGTCTGAGGACTAGAGACCTTAGAAACCATCCTAGAAAGGAAATGAGCAAAACTTTTCCAGACTACCTAGGAGGGGACAGGTCCCAGCTTGGGTATGTTTGAGTGTTTGGGCATGTGATGGTGTCCAGTGTCCAGGGAGTGGCACTGTGCTGAAGGTGGGTCTACTCTCTGACTACTGCAGCTGCAGGGGTCTTTAGGCAGTCCCACTACTGGAATGTGAGTCCCCCAGGGTATGTCTGTGCCCTGGGTGGCTGGGGAACCCAAACTCAGACTGGTCTCTCTCCTCTCTTTCCCCCTGATGCTGGTCAGCAGCCCCATGTCCACCCACGCGGCCAGCAGAGTGGAGAAAGGGAGGAAAAACTCTTGGGTCCTCTGATCTCCAGGGCAAAAACGTTGGTTTGGGGGATGAACAACTTATCTGTTCCACTCTTGTTAGCATCTCCCCTCCCCCCCCCCCCCCCCCCCCCCCCCCCCCCCCCCCCGCCCCCAGGAAGTGGGGAGTATAAACAATGGGGAAGAGGTAAAAAGTCTATTCAAATAAATAGCTGCTGCTGACAGAGAAATGAGAAGGGAGAATTTAGTTTTTCGAGTTTTTTTTTTTAAAGCTTTTCTCCAGGGGCCAGATGTCTTACACCCCAAGACTTGGAAGAAACTCTAGCCCAGTAGAGACAGTCTATGCTGAACCATAGAAAGTGGGTACCATCTCTGTAGAAGATTAGTTATGCGGCACAATTTTTTCGTAACGTTTAACTTCAGTCCTTAAACAGGCTGGCACTCCTAGTCATGGCCTTGAAATGACCGTATAAAGTCAGGCACAGAAACACAGACATACCCAGACCCTTATACACTCAGGGACATGTGCATACTCTTACTCAAGTAGCAAGCAGATTTCAGCCATCTGGGTGGCCTGTTCTCTTTTTGACCTTGCCCAAGACCGTCTCTCTGCTCTGTCCTGTGGAGGAGGAAATAAGTACACACTAGCGAAATAAGTACACACTGTCTGTGGACAGACCTGGACAATTTGGGGAAAGAGCATGCTGGCTATGGACAGAAGAAGAAACAGGGGAGGCAGGGAAGCCCAGGGCCTGGCTCCAGAGCTGACCTGAGTGTCATCTGTGATGCTTTCCACCCTCTGCCCACTTCTCTCCTTAACAGCATCTCCATATCCTTCTGGTTCAACCTCCAAACATCTACCAGTTGTGTCTCTTCTTCATTCCCACTACCTCTTCCCCAGTACTGGTAACCTTTATCTCTCATCCTCTCCTGGTGTCCCCACCTCCAGTCCTTTCCCCAGTGTGCAGTCAGACATATCTCTCTTTGAAAAAAAACTTGTCGTCCTTTTGCCTAAAGTTCTGCCATGGCTTCCCATTGCTCTTAGGATATAGGTTTCCCCACGAGCTGCAATCAGAACTTTCCCATGAAACCTTTCATAAGTCAGAATGGTGTAAACTGAGGGTATCCCCTGCTTTCCGGAAGTTTGCATTATGCCACTTTGCTTTTACAAAAGATCTACTTTAGCACTTGTTTTTGCCAGTCAAAAGAAATCTGAAGAGGATTTTTGCTTTTAGGAAGAAAGCCATTACCATACCAACGTAGGTCTGGCTACCACATTCCATTATTTGGCTTTCAATTCCTGGCGAGTGTCCCACTGGCCTCTCCAGTCTCAGCAAATGGCACAAATCCCCCCCCCCCCCCCCCCCCCCCCCCCCCCCCGCTTCCCTTGCTGCCTACTACCACAGGGCCTTTACAAGTGCTGCTATTCCCCTAGCCTCCACCTGGTGGGGCTATTGAAGCAGGGCCAGCACAGGAAATCTTGACACCAGGTAGGGGTATGTGAGTAAGCACCTTCTCTTTTAATTCTTCACCTGTGCAGTGTTTACCTAAATCAAAATCTGCAGAGGAGGCAGTGATAGAAACAGGCTTCTGCTGGGACCAAGCTTAGTACGGTGGCAGAGCTGACCCACCCCCTCTGATCTCCAGTGTATTACAAGAATATGCGAGGAAGAAAAATGGCGACTGACTGGTAATCACACAGACCACTTCACATGCTCATAGTGCAGGGGGATGGGGTGGGGGGGCTTCCTCAGTATCCAGCATTGCCCAGGTGATGTTCATCCTCATTCAGGGCTCCTTGCTCCTAGAGACTCATGCTGCCCCTGCTTCTTTCTGGGTGTTGCTCTGGTTCCATTGGCACGATGACTGACATAGCCAAATTCTCAAGAAACAGCAGTCTCCCTGGCGAAAAGACAGCTTAGCCACCATGGACACACATCCTCTAATCACAAAGCTGAGGCTACCTTTCCAGAAGTGACCAACAGCTAGCACATTTTCCTTCTTCAAAAGGCAGCCACCATCTACTCTGCTAGAAGTGCAGTAAGCCCTAATGCATCTGTGTTTCCTGCTTCCACCTGGCCTTCTCCCAAATCCCCAGCTTTGTCTTCCATGTCTTTGCCAGCCTTTCTGCCCATCTCGGGTCTCTTGCAGCCAGGCTCTGCCTGACTTCAGGCAGTATGGAAGATCCAGTACACAAGGTCCCCAGAGCAAAGTCACAATGGTGTGTGACAGGCTTTAAGTGTCTGACTGGGCTGCTTCCTGGGACCAGATATTCTGGTGTTTTAAGTGTAAAGTCCACAGGGCTTGGGACTCTTGTCCTGTATGCTGTCCCATGTTCTTGAGGTAGTGCATCAGCTGGGGGGAGGCTAGAGGGGCATGAGGTACAGGAGATCTACTGAGGAAGATCCTACAGGGCATCCCTGGGATTCAGATGGCACCTTCTGGACTGTGATATGCAGTTACCTAGAGAGGGGGGCATATCATGGAGAACTCTAATCCAAACCCTCTTTGGTGACTTACCCCTTCCTTCCTTCCTTCCTTCCTTCCTTCCTTCCTTCC